ACTGCGGATCTTCATTTTTATGCATTGATTCGACACATCTTACCCTTTGTTTAAACTGAGTGACAATAAGTGAATAATCATCGCAGAACTTGAGAGCCAGGAGTCGCATTTGAGATTATTGTCCCCACGTGTTCATTGCAGATGAAGCCGCTGAGGTAGTGGGCCCAACATCCCGAGGCTGCAGGGTGGCAGGGCTCTGTCCGGAACCTGAGCTCGTGAAGCACTGGTCTCTGTGCTACACCGCTGGTCCTTTCCCTGGAGGGAGTCAGTCAATGTTTTTTAAGAAAATGAATTTTTGTGTTCCACTTATATAGAATTTTGCTTTTCAGTAGGAGTCATGTCCTTTAAGTTTATTAAATAAGAAAAGGTGGAAGCATGAAGAAAGGAAGGAAATGAGGGAAAGAAGGAAATGAGGGAAATTAATCCCTATGATTATAATTGGCATAATTTAAATATGTTGAGTCTTATCTCTTGTACATTCCCACCTCCTCCTCTGCCGCCTCCTTCTTTCTGGAGGAGGGTTGATGAGAACAGTGGGGGGGGATACTGACTTTCTGATGGTCTCTTACTGTGTGGAGGGACTGCCACCAGGGCAACAGTCCTGGCCTCGCACTTCTCCCCTCGCTCACCCTACAAAGTCACAAAACTGATGAGTGAATGCATGCGTTCATGACCCTCAATTCTGGAGAACTTCTTAGCAATTCTCCAGCTATCTTTCCCTTTCCAAATGTATTGGCTCAAGGCGATCCTGGGTTGTCCACAGAATGCATTCCAAGCTACAGAGCTGTCTACCCCACAGGATATCGCTGATATTGTTCACTGGAATTGGGCTCACATACATGCCCCCTGGTCTGCTCTCTGCCTAGTAAAGTGGGGCAGCTGAGAGTCTGCTGCCAAGGGCAGAGTAGGCAAATCCAGCTCAAAGTTCACATACTCAAGACACACATTTTAGCCACCTTCCCCAAGCCAGAGCGAAACAACAGTCAAGCTAATATTGTGAAGACCAGCTGCCAAATTGTTGCTCTCGGCTGGTTCTCCGGCTTCTTCTTTCTGTCTCTCTGAACTAAGATGCCCTTACTTCTAATTCTATGTGCTTACCAAGCAGCTATTTGCAATATTTGAGAATCGGCCCAACTTTTGAACATAACGATGTCATAACTATCAAAGTGCCAGGGTTTTCGTGAACTTTTGCTTAACTTTAAGAATAAAATGGCAGCTGTGGAAATAGATGAAGTCATTCGAGGAAGAAACTTGCTGAAAGCAGGAAGACATTTTCAGAGTAATTAGAACTAGTTAGCAATAATATTCGATTCCCAGAAATTACGCTGAACGAGGGACTAAGCGCTAAGAAATAAATCTTAAAGGGTGAGTGACTAGAGGTCCGAAAGTGGCATTTTCAATGACATGAGGCTTTGGGATTACATCACTGTTGGGCGCTGTTGAGTGGGTTCTAACCCAGCATGCAACAGGATGAAACGTTAAACCATCCTCACAAGCATTCCTATGTTGGAGCCCATTGCTGCAGCCACTGTCAAGCCATCTCCCTGAGGGTCTCCCCTCGTTTCTCTATCAAGCATTACGTCCTTCTCTAGCGACTGGTCCTTTCTGATAATAGGTCCAAAGGGAAAAGTAGCCTCTCCATTCTCCCGTCTAAGGAGCATGCTGGCTACACTTCTACCAAGATAGATTTGTCCAACCTTCTGGCAACTCGGTGGGCTTACGATTCTAAACCAACACCATAGTTCAAAGGCATCCAATCCCTTTCACTCTCCATTGTCCCATGGCTATGAAATTGAAGATGCCGTGGCTTGGATCAAATGCATGTTAGTCTTCAATGTGACATCTTATTCACCAACACTTCAAAGAGGTCTTGTGCAGCAGATCCGCCCAATGCAAGACGTCATCTGATTTCTTAGCTGCTGCTGCTTCCACGGACCTTGATTGTGGGATGCGATGAAAAGTACATCCTTAGCAACTTCAATCTCTTCCTGTCTTCATCGTGTCCCCTATTGATGCAGCTGGGAGGACTTGGGTTTTCGTTAGGCTGAAATGTAATCCATACCGACAGCTGCAGTCTTTGATCTTCCTCAAGGTTTTGTGTCCTCTGCCCGGTCAGCAAGCAAACTGGTGTTGTCTGCTTATCGGTGGTCATCCTCCAAGCCCGAAGCTGAGTTCTTCTTCCTGTAGTTCAGCTTCTCAGATTATTTGCTGGCATAAAGGTTGAACAAGTTTGGTGAAAGGATGCAACCCTGGCACACACCTCTTCTCATTTTAACCCACGCAGTATCCCCCTTGTTCTTTTTTAGCAAGTGTTTATGCCATATTCTGTGTAATCGTTCTGAAATTCCCATTCTTTGCAATGTAGCCGTAATTTGTTATGATACATGCAGTCAAATGTCTCTGCACAGTCAAGAAAACACAAGTAAACCTCTTTCTGGTATCCTCTGTTTTCAGCCAAGATCCATCTAACATCAGTAATGATATGTTTCATTCAACATCCTCTTCTGATTCTGGCTTGAATTTCTGACTTTCCCAGAACCCAAGAAAAATGGTCGAAGTGCTGCTTCCTCCACTGGCCCACTCTGTTCCCGGATCTGTTAATAGGTGTTTGCCCGGTTCTAACTGCTCAAAAGTAAAACCAGGATACTTAAAAAGCTAAGAGGTTGCCAACTAAAACAGATAACTCATGAGTAACCGAGGCAGCTGAAATGAGGTGTGGGCCTGGACTGTGAGGGTGTGTCCTGAGCACATCCTCAATTTCCAAGTAGGAGTGAGTTATACTCAGGGCACATGCTGCTCAAAACCAAGGAGCAGCTTCTAAGGGTCCCCAGATGGCAAGAGACTTTTACGGAGCTGTCTAGGTCTACAGTCTTGGAAAAGGGGACTGAACGCATAATAAGCATTGATTAATGAGTCTCCCAAAACTTTCAACAGGGATCGTCAGAAGAGTTTGAGATTACAACAACGGAGAGAGCATTGATAAATGTTCCAGATCTGGCTATCGGGACTAATCACTCTTCAAATTGTTCTTCTTTTTTTTTTTTTTAAATCATTTTATTGGGGGTTCGTCAAATTGTTCTTGAGTGATCAAGTTCTTAGCAAAATGTGACCAACCAAACAGATGCCATGGGGCCTATTCCACTTCATCGAGGCGCCACGTGCCTTAGAAGGGACTTGCGATTCATGGGGTTTTGAGAGCCGATGTTTCAGAAGTCTATTGTCAGCCCTATCTCTCAACCTTTGGGCTCGCAGTTGAGCAAATTATTGTTTGAACTGTACAATGGGTCTGAGATCCTTATCTATGACATCATCTGCATGCTAGATTTTATCATTTCATCTCATTAAAAGGTATATCAAGTCAAAACGACCAATTTTTCCCCCATACCATTTTATGAGGAGTTAATCTAGACATCATACCTTTCCATAGTTATTCATATAAAGTAGTGTCCAATCACGACCACAACCAGTTTCAAAACCTTTTCTTCCTTCTTGAATTCCTTGGAAAACAGCCAAACGATTACATATTCTTTTCAAAATGTTCACTCTAAAATTTTACTTACTCAATTTCATATATTGCTTTTATTTTCAATCTAAGAGAAAGTTTAGCTACATAAGAAAATACATGTCATAAAGTGTACATTAAAAGAGGAGACTGCTCCCACAAAGATTGACAGCCTCCAAAGCTCAATATTTAGGGTCATGATGAGTGATAATCAACTTGATGGCTTTGGGTTTGTTTGGGGTTTTGGTCTCAAAACATATTTGCGTGGAATAAAGTATTCCAAAACCACTGTTCTCGATCATGTGCACAGCCTGCCCTCTAGTGTTGCTTTCCAACCCTTACCAAGTTTTAAATCATATTCTTAATCTCAAAATGTTAGGTTAATAGGATTAAGAACCATGTCATCAAATTATTGGAACACGGCTAAATCCTTGACACTGATGAAACTCAGATCAGAGAGAAGGGGAGGCGCTTCCAGAAGCTGTTGGCAGCGTCACTGGGGAAATCTTGCAAAGTTAGCGGTAAATATATTACGTTTAAAATTGTCTGGATGTGCTTGCTTCGGCAGCACATATACTAAACATAAAATTGTGTCTAGTGTCTAGAGTCTTAACAGAGAGAGAAGAATTTATTTACATGAATATATAAAATATGAAAACTTTGTAATTAAGAGTAGAGATGTTCTCGTATGTAAGGTGCTATTTTATGTACTTATTATAACAGTCTAAATGTTAGTTAAATAATAGAGTTGGTTTTTTGTCTGATTAAATCAGCAACTAGACACAAAGTAGATAAATAACTTCTCTGGGACTATTTGAGAGATTTAACTTTGTCAAATCATAGTTATTTTCACGTCTCTAATTTTGGGGTAACTTTTAAACATTTTCCATTTGAAACCCGTGCAACTTATGTAAATCAAATCAAATGTAAAAGAAAATTCAGTATTTGAGAACAAAGAAAACTTCACTACGCGCATTATTCATGCAACCTATGGGTTTTCTAAGAAGTCTGAGAAAAACGTGTGCGGCTGTGTTGGCCTTCAGAAAGAAGTAAATAGTGAGCCACCTAATAAAAGTCCCCTTGGAGATGCAGAACTCTGAGTCCAAGTCAAAAAAGAACCGCTCTGACACGACTTTAACTGATTCTGAATGTAGGGCTGTGTACAGCTGACGTGCAAATAAAACAAAGTGTGGCCTCTACGTGTCTGCGAGTCATGGCGTTCATTGCCTTCACTTGTGAATCTTGGAGACCACAAGAGGACTTGAAACGATGATCTTATTGAACTGTCAGGGATTTGGTATTAAAAAAAATTGTTTTAAACCCTGATATTTCAAGCATCCCCTCGTGTCGCAGGCATAGTAACATAGAGTCTCAAGTCATAAAGGAAAATGGATAGTACATGTTTGGGAACTCCATGTGTTTTCCATTGATGGCTGTAGAAAATACGCTGGAAGGCATTTGATGAGGTTTGTTTTTCCTTTGCAGTAGCCTCGGGAACATGAAGCCGCCCCTCGGGATAGTTCTGGTGTGTCTGCTGTGCTCGAGAGATTGTCTCTGCGCACCCGCTTGGAAGGACAAAAGTGCTGTTGCTGGAAACCTGGAGAGTATGTTTGATCTCTTTATCTGGGCTGTGTCCTGCTTGCATGCCCTTGGCATTTACAGTGATTTACGGTGCAGAGATAAGAGGTGTCCTGACAACTCTTGAGTTTCACAGCAAAATGATCTCCAGGCACTTAAACAAAGTATATGCGATGCCAAACATCTGGCTAAAAATAGAAAATTCCAACCAAGTATCTGAGAATGTGCACATATCCAGATGTTTGCTATCAGGCAGATAAAACTTGCCAACTTTTTGACTGCTTGTGTGTGTATCTTCCAGATGTTTGGTTTCATCTCAGCACGGTTTTAATGAACAGCGAAATACTTTTCTAGCATTTGAAAAATTCCAACAAATACAGTCTGTGCAATTATTCTTAAATCGTGCAAGAATGGGTTATGATTACACTGAATTTGTTTGCCCTGTGATAATTAACAGGCGGCTTTTGCTTAATGGCATATGCTTTGGGTACTAAACATGTAAAATTCAATAAGCTAAAATGTGACCAATTGTTGTTTGCCATTAAGTCCATCGCATCTCATGGCGAGTCGTGTGTGCAAGTGGAACCTCGTGTGTGCAGAGGAGAATGGTGGCACAGAGTTTTCCAGGCTTAGGGAGACAGGTCACCAGGCCTGCCTTCTGAAGCACCTTTGGGTGAATGTGAACTGCCAACCTTTTGGTGAGCAGCCAAGTGCTTGGCCACGCAGTGACGCCTGACAGTTGGTGGCTCTTGTTGCTAGTCACCCTCTAGGGGATTCCACTTCCTAGGGACCTCATGTGACCAAGGGGATTTCATGTTCCATCTGTTGGGCCTCGGGTTCCACATGGTTGTCGTGGCTGGCCTCTGTATGGAAGCAGGCTGCCTGGTGCCGCTGGGGGGATTCAGACGTCCAACCTTTAGGTTTTCAGCTGAATGCTGAGCCTTGAGAGCCACCAGGCTCCTTTGTATTCAAAACCCAATCCACTGCCATACCATCAATTCTGACTTATAATGAGCCGATGGGACAGTAGAGCTACTCCACAGGGTTTCTGAGGATGTAAATCATTCTGGGGGCTGACTGCCTCACCTTCCTCTCTCGGGGAGAGGCAGGTCCTTTTGAACTGGTGGCCTTGAACTGCTGACCTGGCCCAACACTTAACCAACTGTGCCACCCAGGCTACTTCGCTGTAGCTAGGGCCTTCAAATCACAAAGCAAACCACTGCCTGGTCCTACCCCAGCCCAGGCTGAAGCCCATGGTTGCGGCCACTGGGTCAATCCACCTACTTCCGGATCTCCCATTGTTTTCGCTGAGCTTCTACTTTCCAAGCATGGTGTTTCTCTCCAGGGCCTGGTCTCTCCTGATAACATGTCCAAAGTACACAAGCCAAAGTCTTGCCGTTCTCCCTTTCAAGAAACGTTCTGGCCATGCTTCTTTCAAGGCAGATTTATTGGAGCCTTGGCCAGTCCGCGGTACTTTCAATATCCTTGGCCAGCGTCATAATTCAAGTGTATCAATTCTTCCGCCGTCTTCTTTGGTCATTGCCCTGCTTCCACACGCATATGAGGCAATGGACACCACCATGGTTTGGGTCAGGCACACCTTAGTAACTTCCAAGTGACCCCCTTGCTCTTAAGCACCTTAAAGAGGTCTTGTGTAGCAGATTTGCCCAATGCAACATGCCGTCTGATTCCTGGATTGATGCTTCCTTGGGCATTGATTGTGGATCCAAGCAAAATTAAATCCTTGCCAACTTCAACCTTTTCTTTGTTTATCACAATATTGTCAATTGAGCCAATTGTGAGGATTCGGGTTTTCTTTACCTTGAGTTGCACACTGAAGACTGCAGGCCTTGAGATTCATCGGTAAGTGCTTCAAGTCTTCCTGGCTTTCAGCATATGTCATATGCATATCATAGATTGTTAATAAACCTTCCTCCAATCCTGATAGTGCATTCTTCTTCAGGTAGTCCAGCTTCATGTAGTTCAGGTTCATTGTTCAGCATACAGATTGAATAAGGAGGATGAGAGGATACAGCCTTGACGCACACTTTACTTGATTTTAAACCACACAATATTCCCTTTTTCTGTTCAAACAATTACCTCCTGGTCCACATACAGAATCCTCATGAACACAAGGAAGTAATCTAGAATCCCCATGTTTCTTAATGTGATTCATAGTTTGTTATGATGCACACAGTTGAATTCCTTTGCATAATCAATAAAATGCAAACAAACATCTTTTGGGGGGTTTTCTCTGCTTTCAGCCAAGATCCACCTGATGTCAGCAATAATATCCATTGTATCACATCCTCCTCTGATTCCAGCTTGAATCTCTGACAACTCCTTGTTGATGTACTGTTTCAATCATTGCTGAATGATCTCCAATAATGTTTTACTTGCATGTGAAATTAGTGATACTGTGCAATAATTTGTGCATTCTGTTGGGTCACATTTCTATGGAGTGGTTCAAATAATGGATCTCTTCCAGTCTGTTGGCCAGGTGGCCATCTTCCAAATTTCTTGGCATAGATGAATGCTTCATCAGCTTATTGAAACATTTCAATTGGTATTCCATCAATTTCTAGATCCTTGTTTTCACTAATGCCTTCACTGTAGCTTGGACTTCTTCCTTCAGTATCATTAGCTGGCTCTTGGTCTCATGCTGCCTTTTGAAAGGGTGGGATGCTGACCAGTTCTTCTGAGTACAATGACTGTGTATTCCTGCTATCTTCTTTTGGTAATTCCTGTATCATCCAACATTTTGCCCATAGAATCTTTCAATATTACAACTCAGGGCTTGAATTTTCCCTTCAGTTCTTTGAGATACGGGAGCATATTCTTCCTTTTTGGCTTTCTAACTCCAAGTCTTTGCACATTTCATTATACTATTTTATTTTGTCTTCTCTTGCTGCCCTCTGAAATTTTCGTCTTAGTTCGTTTACTTCATTTGCTTTTGCTGCTCTATGTTCAAGAGCAAGTTTCAGCGTCTCTTCTGACACCCACTTTGATCCCTTCTATCTTGTCTTCTTATGGCCTTTTGCTTTATTAATGTTTGATGTCCTCGATGTCACCCAACAGCTTGTCAGGTCTTGGGTTGAATGTATTCTTGAGCTGTTCTCAACATTTAAGAGAGATACTGCTTGAGGTCATATTTTGGCTCTCTTGGACTTGTTCCCCTGTCAGTCCCCTCTGGCTCCTCTGGCTGCTGAGGTTGAACTTCTCCATCTTCTCATCCCATAGATGTAGTCAGCTCATCTGCTGAGGTCCATGTGTACAGTCTCCACTTATGTTCTTGGATAAAGGTATTTGCAATGAAGTCATTGGTCTTGTAAAATTCTATCATGCAATCTCCAGTTGTGTTTCTATTACAAAGGCCATGTTTTCCAACTCCTGTTCTTTCCTCTTGGTTTCCAACTTTTGCATTCCAATCATCAATAATTACCAATGCATCTTGATTGCATGTTTGGTCAATTTCAGACTAAAGATGTTGGTAGAGTTCTTTGATTTTTTTTTTCATCATTAGCTTTAGTGCATAAATTTGCATAAGAGTTGTATTACGTGGATCTCCTTGCATGTGTATAGATATTTTCCCATCGCAGACAGCATTGTGCTTCGGGATAGATCTTGTAAGTTTCTGATGATGATGAGGGTGAGGCACTTCCTCTTGAATTTGTCATTCCCACATAGAAACCCCATAGTTGTCTATTTTTAAATGGCCGATGCCAGTCCATTTCCGTTCACTATTGCCTAGGATACGATCTTTATGCGTTCCATTTCACCTCTGATGACTTCCAATTTTCCTAGAGTCATACTTCATACATCCCACATTCCGATTATTAATGGGTGTTTGCAGCTCTTTCTTCTCATTTTGAGATGTGCCCCATCACGGGCCCAAATGAAGGCCCTGAAAGCTTTAACTACGCCCTGATGGTGAACTCTGCTTGGAGAAGACAGCTTGTCCTCCATGGTGCATCGATCGCCTTCCAGCCTTGAAGGCGCATCTTGTGGCACTGCGTCTGACAATGGCCTGCTTTTTCTCTTTTCTCCTTTCTCAATCATTTTATTGGGGGCTCTTACAGCTCTTGTCACAATCCATATATACATACATTGTGTCAAGCACATTTGTACATTTGTTGCCATCATCATTCTCAAAACACTTTCTTTCTACTTGAGCCCTTGGGATCAGCTCATTTCCCTCCACCCTCCCACCCTCCCTCATGAACCCTTGATAAAAACTCTTTTTTCATGTCTTACACTGACAGCTGTCTCCCTCCACCCATTGTTCATTAGTTCGTCCGTGGGTGACCCTGCTGGCATTTTGAATATTAAGGACGTAGCTTCCAGCAGCACACAAGCCACCACAGTGTGACAAACTAGTAGACAAGTGGTGAAGGCCTCCTCTAGAAAACTGCAATTAAACTAGAGGCAAGAATAAGCTCCTAAGAAAGCCACCTTAGCGATTGTGAAGGAGGTGATGATGAATTGCACGCCAGCAGCCTGGTGCCATCTATAAGCACTAGACTGCTCACCCCAACAGTGGCAGTTCATCCCCACGAGAGAAGATGAGGCGGTCTGATCCTGTAAGGGTTAACAGCGGGAGAAACCCTGTGCAGGGGCGATATGTATCGGAATTGACTCCTCCTCGGTGCCTGGGGGCTTGGTGGGTATTGTTGTTGAAGTGTTTTTGCTTATTGGAGTTTCTGGATGGTGCAAATGGTTTGCCACTCGGCTACTGGTTGAAAGGCTGGCGATTCAAACTGCCCAGAGGTGCCTCAGAAAAAAGGCCTGGAGTTCTGATGCTAAAAAGTCGCAGCCTTGAAGATCCTATGAAACGGGTCGCCGTGAATCGTGATAGACTCAAAGGCAGCTAACAACAATAACAATAAATGCTTTGTGAAGTTCTGGGGTAGTGCAAAGGGTTAATTCGCTCAGCTGCTCAGCAAGAGGTGGGAGGTGGGAGTTCACCTAGGGGCTCCTCAGAAGAAGGGCCTGGCAATTTACTGCCACTGAAAACCCTACGGTACACAGGCCTGTCCTGGTACGCCAGGGACAGCCACCAGTGGGGTCTGCAGCCGAGCCACTGATTCGAGACTTCAAGAGGGCTGTGTCTGTCTGCAACATCTGCTAGGCTGTCCGGGATTAGCCGAGAGGCTTTCTGAGTTTCATGCCACTTTCAAAGGTAATTAAAGCTGAAATCAAATAAAAGTTTCGCTGTGTTGGGTAGAGTCTAGGGAATTCTAAATGATCTCTAGTATATAGTCTTAATTTAGAGTCCTGGCTCTTTTAAGTGAAAGAAGGTGTGGGGCGGGGAATAAATTAAAACAAGTCCTAAGTGCTGTAGCGAAATGCGGTGATGATGTCTAGCCATTAGAAAGAAGAGTGTCTGCGGTCTTAAAACAAGCGGCCATAAGTAAGGTGGCAGCTAAGCCCACTCAGAAGAAGCACATCAACCTGTGTAATCCAAGGATTGTAAAAAATAAAATTTACCACCAGAGGAAGGAATAGGATTAGCATTTAAATTCTGAGCACCTGGTTTTCAGAAGGCTGTGGATGACAGTGAAAACCCAAAGTTGACTTGCACAGTCCCCACATGGATTAAGCCGCTCGTCGAGGCCCTCTGACCATAGGCCAGGGATGGGAACAGCCTTCCTGACAGAGAGGACGTTGGAAAGGGCTCTCTATGTTAGTATTATTATGGACATAGGTGAGCTAAAAGTTAACAGCTTTTCATCTGCTCTCCCTTTGATGCAGGAAACAAAGACCGTGGCCTGATTCATACCTCCTACTATAAACCAAACGCACTGCTCACTCCCAGTGACTCCTGGAGACTAACTGGAAGTAGAAAGCTCAGTCTTTCTCCCACTGGTGGTTTTGAACTGCCAACCATGTGGATCATAGCTGGATATATAACCATTGCACGACCAGGGCTCCCACCCTCTACTCAGGTCAGGTGTTAATCCCCTACTCTACCTGTTTTATTAGGAGGCCTGGTGGGGTATCGGTTACGAATTGGGCTGCTAATTGCAAGGTAGCTCCACAGGAAAAAGACTGAGCTAAACAAGAAAAGAAGAGAAAAAGACTGGGCTTTCTCTTGTGAAGGATCCCAGTCTCAGAAACTCACAGGGGCAGTGCTACCCTGTCCTGTAGGGTCACTGTGAGCCAGCATCCACTCGGTGCCAATGGGTTTTTAGATTCCAATTGGTTCATAGAAAATGCCCTCCAAAACGGGGCTATAAAAAAACAAAACAAATACAAAAGGGGGCTATCGCCACAGGCATATAAAGTTCAGAATGATAATATATCATTCTGATGATGGATAGAAAAACCATATTAATTGACTAACAATGTTCTAAAATGGATTGTACTGATGATTGCATAACTCTTTTTCATAGGAATGAACTATTAAATTGTATGCCATGTGAATTTGATGTCAATAAGGCTGTTTTAAAAAAACGAGCCCTCAGGAACATGACCAGGAGGAGGGGAGGTGAATCCTGCCGTATTTGGGCTCTCAGAACTGAAGCGCACAGGCTCTCTCCCGGGGCAGCTGGACCCAGGAGACAATTCGTGATCCTCTAGAAGGGCAGCTCCGCCTCTTCTGGGGGAGGTGGAACACTGGCGAACCCTTGCTTTCGTAATCTGATTAAATGCCAAAGGCAAAACCACATCATATCTCTTAGGTCTTTCTGAGTCCGAGGAGACGGAGGCCAATGAAGAGGTGAAGAAGGCGTTGATTGGGATTAAGCAGATGAAAACCATGATGGGAAGAAGGGCGGAAGAACACACCAGTCTAATGAAAACCCTGCGGAAATGCAGAGCAGAAAAGCAGGTACCGTTACAGCAAATCGTCCCTGTTCCTGAACGTGTCGGAACCAAATATATTGGATTTGTTAGTGCATTGGATGAATCACTTCTTTTCCTTGATAATAACTTTTCTGGACAACAACCTTTATGGGAGAAAAAGTTGGAAGGAAACTTCAGGTTTCCTCAAAGAGCATCTTCCTTGTGGAATAGGCCTTTGTAAAGTCTGGAGTAGACTCCAAATCCAGAAATGTGGGGAATTCCTCTAGGTGACGTTCTGTTTTTCAAATTGCTTCATGATACTTAACCTCCTCTGCATTAGGATATTGTGGGAGACTTGAGATAGACCAGTGACCATCAAGAGTCTCTGGTGTTACATCTGTATTACTAAAGAATTTGTCAGCACTCAGTTCGAAATATATGTGTATTAATTTATTCACCAGTCAAACATATGAACTGCTAACATTATCTGTTCCAACTAGAATGGATTTAAGTCCATATTTCAAATAGTCTTCTAAATCACTCAAAATGTTTAGCCCTCGTCCCTGATCTGATTAGATCACCGTGTTTTGTACCTTGTCATGTGGCCAATCAAGAGCTCATTATGCAGCTGTGTCAGTAGGGCTGTTTGCTTCTCATCCATTTGAGCTTATGTTTGTCCTATTTTCCCAAGCTGATGGGGTTTTGTGCAAGAAACTTTTTAAGCCTCCTTTTTTTTTTTTTTTTTTTTTTTAAACATTTTATTAGGGGCTCATACAACTGTTGTCCCAATCCATACACACATCAATTGTGTAAAGCGTATTTGTACATAGTTTCTCAAAACATTTTCTCTCCATTTAAACCCCCCGACATTAGGTCCTCATTTTTCCCCTCCCTCCCTGCTCCCCCCTCCCGCATGAGCCCTTGATAGTTTATAAATGGGTATTTTGTCATATCTTGCCCTATCCGACGTCTCCCTTCATCCCCTTTTCGGTTGTCTGTCCCCCAGGGAGGAGGTCACACACAGTTCCATGTAATCGGTTCCCTCTTTCCTACCCATTCTCCCTTTACCCTCCCTGTTTTGCCACTCACACCACTGGTCCTATAGGGCTCATCCGTCCTGGATTCCCTGTATTTTCAGTTCCTATCTGTACCAGTGTACCTCCTCTGGTCTAGCCAGTCTTGCAAGATAGAATTCGAGTCATGGTAGTGGGAGCGGGGAGGAAACCTTTAGGAACTAGAGGAAAGTTGTATTTCTCATCATTGTTACATCGCACCCTGACTGGCTCATCTCCTCCCTGAGACCCCTCTGCAAGGGGATCTCCAGTGGCCTAATCGTGGGCTTTGGATCTCCACTCCACACTCCCCCCATCATTCACTATGGTAAGATTTTTTGTTCTGATGATGCCTTACACCTGATCCCTTCGACACCTCGTGGTTGCATAGTAAGCCTCCTTTCTTACAAGGGTTCTGAGGGTTAGTTTAGTGAAAGAGGGCATTGGTGGTTCCATGGGAGAGGTCTTACCTTCCAGAGGGAAAACCCAGATGTGAGATCTGGCCGATCCCCCTCATGCACAGCCACAAATTGTCTGTGAGTGGATGCTGATGCGTTGCTAGGATGCAGCAGAGGTTTTAGCAGAACTTCCAGATGGAGTAGGAAGAAAGGCCCGGCAATCTACTTCAAAAAAACCAAGCCACTGGACACCCGATGGAGCACAGTTTTGTTCTGCCACAAATGAGGTTGCCAAGAGTGGGGCAACCTAACAGCAACAATGGTCTGTGAAAGATAGATAATAAACTTCAATACACCGGAATCCTCCCAAACTGCAATGTATTGCAATTGATTGGCAAGCAGAAGACTGCCAATGCTTCTGCAATGATGGGGGGTGGGGTCCACTCTTCCCCAGAGTGCAGGGGAAGTTGTCTAGCATAAACACCTCAAGAGAGCTTTGGTATACTAAATAATACACTCACTCACTACCATTGAGTCGATGCCAACTCACAGAGACCCTCTAGGACAGGGTAGATCTTCCTCTGTGAGATTCTGAGATTAACTCTTTCAGGGAGTAGAAAGCCCTGTCTTTCTCCAGTGAACGGCTGGTGGTTTCGAACCGCTGACCATGCACATCACAGCCCAGTGTGCAACCGCTACACTCTCAGCGTTCCTCAATTCATACCATAACTCAATCTATTTAATCTTTTTTAAAAGCCTGAAGGGAAGTTCTAGTATTTCTTTCCTCTAACCCAGTGCGCGCACCACAGTCAGAGGCCACAGAGTTCTAAAAAGCGGCTTCCGAGCATTGTGATCTTTGGGAGTCCGTTGGGCACTTTCCTTCGGGCTGTCTGATAACCTGACCCCCCAGCCTGTCACCAGCCTGGCTGACATCGCTGCCACCCCTCCAGTCAGGCAGCCGTCCAGACAAGGGAAGGAGACTGCCTGACCAGCAGCTGCAGGACCACCTCCTCCTCCTCCTCCTTTTGGCAGCAATCAAAACACTGTAAGGAAATCAAAAATAGCGCCTCATCAGGAAGATGTGGAAGCCCCCAGAACTGGGTTGTCCCTAGTAGACTTGTGAGGCTCACCATCTGGGCGGAATGATGCCAGACATCATTTATAGCCCCAACAAAACGCATTATCACACCGAGTCCTTCCAACATCTGGAAGAACCACTGCTTTCATCTTGCAGCTAAGGAAACTGATGTTAGAGGTGCTATTTAACCTGTTACCCCAACACGGATGCGTGAAAGGAGAGTGCGCAGGCAGACATGATGCAGGGACCCCGCACAATGGGAGGAGGCAGGAGTCAAGTAAACTAGCGCTGGTTTCACGTCTGATCCAGCAGCATCCAGGAACAGGGAATATTTTTACACGTGCTTTAAAAAGCTCTGACTGTGTAAAAAGTCATTGAATTAAACACGGCTTGATTCCAGCACTCAATTAAAAAGTTCATTTTTTTAAAAAAGACGCCTACTTAATCCTGAATTGCCTTGCTTAAAGTTACAGTGAACAAATTACGAACTGACAAAGATGGAGTAAATGCTCCCGTCTCTGAGTCCTGAGCACGCCCCCCGCGTCCTCCAGGCCGCTTGTCCTCATCTGCTCCCATTAACGCTCGGGGACAGCCTCCGGAGCTCACTCTGCACGGAGCCGGAACCCTGGAGCCGCCCAGGGTGATTTGTCCCCCCGCAGGTTTCCGTGGTATTGTGCTAAGAGTTTTGCTAAGCTTTGAACAGGAATACCGTCCTAACTATGAAATCTGATGTGCTGGGGACTTTTGGGGGGGTGGGATGGGGATGGGGGTGGGGGTGGGGACGTGGAGGGACTAGATTGGACACTCCAAACGAAAGCAGAAGCTATCTACTTCATCCATGACGACACATCAGCACTAAAATTTGGGCATCGTGCTAGTTTTTTGTTCTGCTTTGGGGGACAAGAAAGATAGCAATAATATGCTAAGCGCCTTGCTTAGCTCATGTAAGCGGTAGATCCTATTGCTGTCCCTGCTTGCTAATCATCAGACTGAGACTTAAAGGCATTAAATGGTTTGCCCAAGGGTACATCCTTAATGCGGTTCAGAGTTAGAAAATTTGAAATTTCTTGTCTGTGACAACAATAAGCAGAATGTTCACAATTGGAACTATTAGATCAAACCTTTCCAGAGAAGAAGTAGGATTCCAAAATTATTCTGCAAGAAAACTCTGTCTGGATCATAGGGTGCCTGCGGCAGGCTGGTGCCCTGCCAATTTATGTATTCAGCTTAATCTGAGCTACTGCCAGCGGCAATCCCCTGGCTTAGCACCAGGACAGGGTGCAGTGAGGTCAACTGAAAACCCACAGCAGGCTCGGAAGATTGTCAGTGCCGGCTGATGCTTTGGGCTTAACATGCCAAGAAAGGGTGGTTTCCTCTGTCTTATTAGGTAAAATTGCACACTAAGCTGGTTTTAAATAAAAGAGACTTTTCTCCTTAATGAGGTTTTCTTCTAAGTGACTCACATTTGGCCCTGAGGCTGCAGCCAGCCTGTGGCAGAACTCATTAATGATAATCCCCTAGTTCCCCGGGGACTGGGGATGCTTTCTCGTAGTGCGAACGATTAACACGTTTGGATGCCAACCACTAGCGGCTCCACTGAAGAAAGGACTGGCGATCTACTTCCAAATATGTCAACACAGGCAATTCTCCTGCGACACACATAGAGTCTCCAACCGGAAGGTTGGCAGTTCAAACCTTCCCGCCGGTCACTAAACATTGGAATCCACAGCGTGGCAGTGAGTTTTGTTTGTTTTCAGCCTCAGGCAGGGAGAGACCCCACTTTTGTTCTGGCAGGGAGGTGGGGGTCTGAGCAGGTGCAGATAAAGATGTCTTTGGGGGTTGCGGGGTCTGGGATGGGGGCGCGGGTGGGTGGGTTGCAGGCTGTTGGGTCCGACCGCACAGAGCACTGGTCGGAAAGCAAGCTCGAGGCCACACAGGGTATGTTGGGAGGGCCACGGGAAAGAACCAAGATGCTAAAGAGACAGCGTCTGCAAGTATGATGGAACCGGGTGGGAATATTTATCTGATGCACAACGATTGCGCTTTCTTTCTTTTTAAAAAAGAAATCATTTTATTGTGGGCTCTTACAGCTCTTATCACAATCCACCCATCCATTGTATCAATGATTGTGCTTTCTTGCAATGTTTAAGAGCATGCACAAATTAAAGACAGCAAATGAACCAATTAGAATAAGTGAGCTTTTCTTAAAGCCTTGACACCTGCCTCCCACATCTCCCTTCCCCTCCCCTAGAATGGATGTAAAGACAGACAACTGATCAGACAAATGACAGGCGCTGGTTCTCCCAGAGTAGGGACTGCATCTTCACTGAGAATTCCCCCAAGTCAAACGCAGTGTCTTTCTCCATGAAGGCTTGTCAAGTGAATAAATTAGCACATGGAAGAGATTTGCTTAGCCTGCAACCAGAAACAGAGCTAGTAGTCAAACAGAAAGCTTTGGAGATGTATCAGCTGCTGCAGGAGAGAGGCTGAAGCGAGCATTTCGAACATGCGCATGTTCACAAAGGGAAATCAACATGGAATTGCAAAATAAAAGAGTGTCTGTTTCTACTTCATAATTAGGAGGCCCTGAAACTTATGAACGAAGTTCAAGAACATCTGGACAAGGAAGAGCGGCTCTGCCAGGTGTCTTTGACGGGTTCCTGGGATGAATGCAAGACTTGTCTGGAAAGTCGTTGCTTGAGCCACTATACGACCTGCCAGTCTGGCTGGTTCTCCGTCCAAAACACGGTAAGCGAAAACCAGCGCTCCAGGTTTCAGAGTTCGTAAGGCGAGGGCCTCACACAAGTGGATCTATTTCTTAGTAATGTCTACTTGTGTTTAGAACAAAAGCGCGTGAGTTGATATTGGCCTTTTGCAACCGAAAATGCCATCCTTTGGGAATGCACAGCATACAGCTTAGAATATCTGTTTCCGGATAACAATGCTGCATGTACCTTTCCAAGAAGTCCCCTTTTTGACCTTGTGTTTGCCCTTCGTAAGCACATTCCCACTGGTTTGCAAGCTCTGTAAGAGCAGGAACCACCTGTAATTTGTCTCTGAGCACTGAAGGTATTCAATAAATATTTGTTGAATTCTATTCTGAAAAATAGTATTATAGTCTCTGATTTCGACTTTCTTTAACTTTTCCTCCAGGGTGCCAAACATTTTCAAAGACATTCTCTGCCTCCTCTATTTCTTCTGCAGTGCACTTGACCTCTTGTATGTGGTACATGCACTCAGAGCTCAGGCACCTGTATTGCCTCGAGTCCTGTGCACGGTCTCTGGCTATTTCTGGGTATAAGGAATCACAGAGGGAGGTGACCTGCGCAGGCTGAGCTATGTTCCATAAAAGGGTGCAATTCTATTGGTGTGATTCAAAAAGTGAGCCGACTATGAAATTGAGTGAAATTTCATATTTCACTCTCCATATTATAACATGCACTAATTAAAGTGTGTTCCTGGCTTGGCAGCACCATGCCCATTACAAAGGAAGCAACCCATCAGATAATGAATATGCCAACTTAATTTGCCTCCACTGATAATTGCATCTGCTCTATTTTTATAGTCTCTGTCTCTTTCCAGTTCACCGGAAGATAGTGGAACCACACTGGCTGGAAGTCAGATGTGAGGGCCATTCCTAGGTGTGCCAATTGTGTGACTGCATGAACATTTCTTTGAGTTTTGAAGTTTTGTTTTTGTGGATGGGGTCAAGTAAATGGAAGGTGACAGAGGGAGAGGCAGAGCCAGATCGTTTTTTAGAGACAGGCACAGTCTTTTTTTTAATATATATTAAAATCATGGTCATTTAATTTTAAAATTTAATGAATGTATTTGTTTTGCTTTGACTCAAAGATGCTTTATTTTTCTATAAACTCATTCCTGAGAGGGGATCAGATCATGTGCTTCCTGCATTTTCCACACACAACTTATTGTAAAAAAAAAAGTTTTTAAGTACAATTTCTTCACTTGAAGTTACCTATGATAATTATTGTGTTAAATAGTTCCCCAGGCACAAAAATAGATCCTATAATTATAGTTTTATATATTCAGAAGCATACATACACACAGACAACCATATACATGTACAGATACAAATATCTATGTACATATGTATGTCTAGAAATATACTTATTAGTGTCTAAAGAAAGGAGTATAATTTTCCATAAGTTTAATCACACCATATATATTTTTAAATACTTTGACTGGGGGCTTTAACATCTCTTGTCACAATCCATACATTTGTCCAGTGTGTCAAGCACATTTGCACATATGCCGCCATCATCATTTTCAAAGCATTTTCTTCCCACTTGAGCCCCTGATATCAGCTTCCCATTTCTTCCCCCTCTGCCCTCCCTCACAAACCCTTGATAAAGTTATAGATTATTATTTCCCTTGATAAAGTTATAGAATATTATATTAATATTCGCCCCTCACCCACCTTTCCATTATTAGTCCCCCTGGGAGGGGGTTATAAGTTGATCCTTATGATTGATTTCCCCTTTCTCCCCCCACCCTCCCCTAATCCTCCTGGCATCTCTACTCCCCTTGTTGGCCCTGAGGGGTTTATCTATCCTGGATTCGCTGTGTTGTGGGCTCTTATCTGTAGCAGTGTTCATCCTCTGGTCTAATCCAATTTGTAAGGTAGAATGAGGTCATGATAGTGGAGAAAAGGAAGCACCAAAGAACTAGAGGAAAGTTGTGTGTTTCATCTGTACTATACCGCACTCTGACTGGCTCATCTCTTTCCTGTGACCCTTCTGTGAGGGGATGTCCAATTGTCTACAGATGGGCATTGGGTCTCCACTCCATGCCCCCCTCCCCATTCACATTGGATATGATTTTGTTCTAGGTCTTAGATGCCTGATACCTGATCCCATTGACACCTCATGATGACATAGGCTCATGTACTATTTCCATGTGGGCTTTGTTGCTTCTCAGCCAGATAGCCACTTGTTTATCTTCCAGCCTTTAAGACCCCAGACGCTATATCTTTTGATAACCAGGCACCATCAGCTTTCTTCACCACATTTGCTTATGCACCCGCTTTGTCTTCAGTGATCATGTTGGGAAGGTAAGTGTCACAGAATGGAGAAAGGCACAGTCTTCTAAGACTTCGTGAAGAGTCCTCTGAACGGCACTGGGCTGTCCCAGCACAGATGTTAGAGAGTTGATAATGTTCAAGGACATTCAACAAGACATCAAGCATCACTAATGTATACGGGCAACCCTGTTCTGGCTGAGACTCAGGGTCTCACAGATGAAATAGAGTCTGGGCAACTGCCAGAAAATCTCCCCCAAAGTGGTCCCGGAAATCCCACAATTAGAACTTCATTCTTTTGTCTATAGCCCAAGAGAACTGTGACCCCTCTAATACATACTATTCCTAAAAAGAGTAACCCACTGAGGTGCATCAGACAGCTGTGCGGCAGTGCAAATCTATTGATCTTTCCTTTCCTTTACTGAGACCAATTTATGAAGAGAGAAAGAAGACAGTGTAAAGCCACTAATGACATTCTACTGAAGACAAAAAGGAACAGAGAAAGAGGTGAATGAAAAACAAGAGCCTTCACCATGGTTTTTGGGACAATCTCCATGGCGCCCGAAGACCATGACATGCCAGCTGCCACTGGCGCATCAGGCTGTGGCTCTTCAACAATACTGACGGATGTCCTTTGTGGGCATCACTGGCAAACAGAAACCAGACAGAACCTTAGATCCGATTTCTGCAATCATAACCCAAGTCTGTTATAAGAACACCAGAAAAAGTATGAGTGGATGGATTATTTTAAGTTAATCACCTCATCCTCTCTTGCCCAAAATTGTTCTTCATTTAGAATGATTACTATAAGTTGGCTTTAAAGTTTGTGATTAAAAAAAAAATGGTCCAAAGGCTAGACCAGAGGATGTATACTGGTACACATAGGAACTGGAAACACGGGGAATCGGGGCAGATGATCCCTTCAGGACCAGTAGTGAGAGTGGCGATACCAGGAGGGTGGAGGGAGGGTGGGTTGGAAATGGGGAACCGATTACAAGGATCTATATATAATCTCCTCCCTGGGGGACGGACAACAGAAAAGTGGGTGAAGGGAGATGTCGGACAGTTCAAGATATAACAAAATAATTATAAATTATCAAGGGTTCACGAGGGAGGGGAGTGGGGAGAGAGGGGGAAAATGAGGAGCTGATGCCAGGGGCTTAGGTGGAGAGCAAATGTTTTGAGAATGATGAGGGCAGTGAATGTACAATGTGCTTTACACAACTGATGTATGTATGGATTGTGATAAGAGTTGTATGAGCCCTAATAAAATGATTAACCCTAAAAAAATGGCCCAAAGGAAAAAAGTAATCTCTTCTTCCATTTGTTTCCCTCACCCCACCCCACAGATTGAGCAGTTTTTCACAATGATCCATCGTTTTTTGTTTCCTTTCCATGATGATCATGAAAGAGCTGTTCCCACAATTGAAAAGCACATCGAGGAAGATGAAGAAGTGGTCCAGCTTGAGGGAGTGTTCAGCCAGTTGACTGTGGACATGGCCTCTCTATTCAACAGAAGTTGCAATGTCTTCAAACAGATGCAGCAAGAATTTGACAAGGCTTTTCAATCATACTTCATGTCTGATACAGACTTAGTTGAACCTTATTTTGTTCCAGCTTTAGCCAAAGAGCCAAAGAAGAAAGATCTTCCGCCGACTTGGGACATCCCCAACTTCTTCCAGCTGTTCAGTAATTTCAGTCTCTCGATTTATGAAACTGTCCGTGAAACAATGGCTGGGGTGCTGAATGCTGTAGAGCACTTAACAAAACAAGACAGAGGCAAGTATTGAAAGGTGGTTTTACGTAGCTGTCCATAGTAATGTCAAGTTTTAGGAAACGGTAGATATTCTGAGGCAGTGTACCGTATTTCTCGGAGTGACAATTCATGGTTCATTGAGGTTAGAACCTCTTAAAAGAAGCTTTGACCTCTGCCAAACACAATGTTATCTCTTCCATCGTTGCCGAAAGCCCTGTGAAACGGCTTTAAGAGCAAATGTTCAAAGCTGAAAAGCAGATATGCCAATAGAATAGAGTGAGAGGAAAAAATAAGGACCTGATGCCAGGGGCTTAAGTGGAGAGTACATGTTTTGGGAATGATGAGGACAATGAATGTACAAATGTGCTTTACACAATTGATGTATGTATGGATTGTGATAAGAGTTGTATGAGCCCCTAATAAAACAATTTTAAAAAGGTGCAGAAGATTAAAAAAATAATAGAGTGAGAAAATTTAAAAAGCACTCACATTCTTTATTTAAGCTGACATGTAGGATCTCAGCTCTGTTCTGCTTGACCACTGAGTAATTTCTTTAAAATGAGGTAGGATTGTCAATTCTCAGTTTGTGAAGAAGCTTAGAATTATATAGCCAATTTCCTTGAAGTAGCTAAAGAGCCTTGGCAGAACGGTAGGATATATGTTAGGCTGCTAACCATGAGGTTTGTAGTTCAAGTCCACTAGCTTCTCTGTGGCAGAAAGAAGAGGCTAGCTGCTGCCATTTCCTGTCTCAGAAACCCAAAGCAGCAGAACTACCCTGTCCTATAGAGTCACTGTGAGTCTATGGCTGGGGGTTGTGTTTTGGTATGGGAGAGACTCTGACTCAGGGTGACCTCATGTGCGTCAGAGTAGAACTGTGCTCCATAGGATTTCTAATGGCTGATTTTTCGGAAGATTGTCAGGCCTTTCTTCCACGGTGCCCCTATGTGAACTCAAATCTCCAACCTTAGGTTAAGGGGCAAGCACTTTAACTATTGTCACCGCCAGCAAGTCCACTCTTATATATAAGCACGGACTTCTCTGAACCACCACTGTAATCCCTTCAGGCAGGAAAGCGTGTGTATGAGGTTACAGAAGAGGCCCCGGGACATGCCCAAATTGCCCTCTACTGATACTGTTGGAAGAGCAGACGGAGAGTAGAAGAGTCCTTCTGCAGGCTTCTGTGGAGTGGCTAGCCCAGAGGTTTTCAGAAATGAGAGCTGCTGTGAGCCAACTCCGAATCTGTATTTCCTTGGGCTGCTCTCCTTGTGGCCATGAAAAGGGTCCCCTTTCTGAACTGAAAAATAAAATGAGCTCCTCGGAGCTGGCTCCTTTTCCACTTATGTCAGCTGTAGCTGGCAACACCTGAATAAATTCTCCAATGGCATACCTGACCTCTGTAGGGCAGGGGCTGACCTCACCAGCCTTTGAAACAGAAGCCAGGAAACAGTGCATTGCATCCGTCCTGTCCCATTGTTACGGAAACTTCCATCATTCCCAGACCTGCTGTTGGCTTCTATTTCAGGGGCTTTCTGGCAAGCCAGGTGTTTAGTGAGGAGGTTCCCAATTCACCTAGTATTTAAGAGAAGTGCCAGGGTAGTAGGCACATATATCAGTGTTGGGTTAATACAGTATACATTTTTGCTTGACCTTGTATTAGATAGCTCTTGTCTCGGAATAATATTCTGAATTCATTAGAATAAAAGGGTGACACACCCACCCCAACACACACGCCCTATCATTGGCATTGTGTAACAATCCTACTAATAGGGTACATTCAAACGCACACAGAAGTAGTAATGATGCAGTCACATTAAAATCCGGGGACTTTCTCAACCACTGTGAATTTCTCCCACTCTCCTGACTGAGCTCTGGACCTCTACCCATCTGCCCTAGGTCTCCCCCACTTTCCCACCGTGTAGGACTAGCTGGCTCATGCACCTCCTGCCCTGCCCCCATGACACCCACTCCATTCAGGTGGCAACCTAAGTATGCAGGGTTCCCTGTAAAGGGGGGTGGGAGGGAGCCTATGTTACACCATTCTACAAGGGGGCTTCAAAAAGTTCATGGAAAGGTTCCACTATTTTTTCATTCAATTTTTTCTACCAACTTTTTTTTTAATCATTTTATTGGGGCTCTTACAGCTCTTATCACAATCCATACAGACACTGTGTCAAGCACATTTGTACATATGTTGCCATCATCATTTTCAAAACATTGTCTTTCTACTTGAGCCCTTGGTATCAGCTCATTTCCCCCCTCTCCCACTCTCCCTCCCTTATGAACACTTGATAATTTATAAATTATTTTTTCATGTCTTACATTGACAGATGATGTCTCCCTTCACCCACTTTTCTGTTGTCCGTCCTCCTGAGAGGGGGTTATATATAGATCATTGGGATCCATTTCCCCTTTCTCCCCCCACCTTCCCCTTATCCTCCTGGTATGACTACTCAAAATATTGGTCCTGAGGGGTTTATCTGTCCTGGATTCCCTGTGTTTCCAGCTCTTATCTATACCTGTGCACATGCTCTGATCTAGGTGAATTTGTAAGGTAGAATTGGAGTCATGATAGTGGGGGGTAGGAAGGATTAAAGAACTAGAAGAAAGTTGTATGTTTCATCGGTGCTCTACTGCACCCTGACTGGCTCATCTCTTCCTTGTGACCCTTCTTTGAGGGCATGTCCAACTGTCCACAGATGAACTTTGGGTCTCCACTCCGCACTCCCCCTCATTCCCAATAATATGATTTTTTTTGTTCTGGGTCTTTGATGCCTGAAACCTGATCCCATAGAAACCTCGTGATCACTCAGGCTGGTGTGCTTCTTCCATGTGGACTTTGTTGCTTCTCAGCTAGATGGCTGCTTGTTTATATTCAAGACTTTAGGACTCCAGACACTATATCTTTTGAGAGCCAGGCACCATCAGCTTTCTTTGCCACATTTGTTTATGCACCCATTTTGTCTTCAGCCATCTTGTAGGGAAGGTGAGCATCACAGAATGCTGGGTTTTGAGAATGAAGTGTTCTTGTATTGAGGAAGTACTTAAGTAGAGGTCCAATGTCCATCTGCTATCTTAAAAACTTAACATATAAATATATGTACATAGATCTATTTCCCCATCGCCATATAAAAATAGATTTACATATTTACATGCCTGTATTTAGGCCTCTATAAATGTCCTTTGCCTTCTAGTTCTTTCCTCTATTTCCTTTCACTTTCCTCTTGTCCCACTATCATGGTCAGCCTTCATTTGGGTTTCAGTAATTCTTCTCAGCTACGTTGCCCTTGATCAAGCCCCACCAGGCATCTTATGCCCTCCTCACCATTGATTTTAGATCCCTTGTTGTTCCCTTGTCCCTGGGTTGGTTAATACCCCCCTCCCTTTCCCCTACCTGACCCTCTACCATGACCCCTGGAAACCTCACTCCCATTGTTTTCTCCTCTGGATTGTTTATCCTGCCTATCTTATCAAGATAGACATGCAGAGATAATAATAAGCACAAAAATACGACAGAGCAAAACAACGACAAAAAAAGAAAAGCCTATAAATAGTTCCAGGTCTGTTTGTTGACCTTTAGGAGTGTTTTCCAGCTGAGTCTGATGGTGTGCCACACCCTGGACCCAAAGTCTATTTTTGGTATTTCCCAGGGCCTTTATTGGTTTGCTCCCCTTGCTGCTCTGTTGCACGCCCTTAGCGTTTTGCCCCCATGTGGTAGGGTCAGATGGGCCACAATTCCCACACAGTGCCTCCAGTGTTGTCCCTAGTAGCGCTATGGATCAGGGAGGAAAGTCCTGTATCATGGTGGGGCCCCCTATGGTCCTCTCTGTGCATTGGCTGCTCTGAACAGGAATATCGTCCTTGGGCTTTGTGGGCCAGGATGTGTTCCACTCTCCTTGCCTCTTTGTTTGCTCCTGTGTGCTCTGATCAGATACACCCCTCTCCCTGAGCTGTAGCTTCAGAGCTGTCCTCTGAAGTGCATTCTTCTGGGGGAGGAGGTGGGATGTCCACTTAGTTGGGATTGGGGCTGCCCCGCAGACCTCTCTATTGGTTCCCTGCTTCATGCTGGTATGTTGCATTCACATCTTGGCACACCTCCACCGGCTTTTTGAAGCCCCTCAGAGTGGATGCTTTCGAAGGCCATTGAACCTGAATAGTCAGGGAAATGTAGGGTATTTGCATGGGACTTCCATGACTTTTCTGGGCAGGCGGCCTGTGAGAGATAAATCATCATCCCTTGAAATACTACCTAATCAGTAGACATTTAGGGACCTTTGCTTCTTCTTGAGGAAGAATAATGGCTCTGAAAAAAAATCTATGTCCAAATCCTCTAAGTCTCTAACTAGGTTAGTTACATGGCAAGGAGAAATTATAATCACTAATTAGGATGTAATAAATAGGGAGATAATTCTGGATTATCCAAGTGGGGTCAAGGTAATCCCAAATGGCATTAAAAGTAGATGATAAAGCCAGAAAAGAACCAACAGAGATGGCAGCACAGGACTGAGTTGTCAAGGAATATAGGTGCCTCTAGAAACTAGAAAAGGTGCCCTTAAAGGAGCGGTTCTCAACCTGTGGGTCGCGACCCCTATGGGGGTTTCAATGACCCTTTCACAGGTGTCGCCTGATTCATAACAGTAGCAAAATTACAGTTATGAAGTAGCAACAAAAATAATTTTATGGTTGGGAGGGGGGTCACCACAACATGAGGAACTGCATTAAAGGGTCGCAGCATTAGGAAGGTTGAGAACCATTGGCTGAGAGGCTCTGCTGAAACATGTCCTGCCATGGGTGGCACTGTCGGCATCTGGAATACTTGTGGCATGACTTTCAGCGTTACAGCAACTTGCAGCCCTCCACTGTACTACAACTGACAGATTAACTATGGTATATGACTGTAACAGGGGGCTTCAGGAAGTTTCTGGGAAAATGTTCAACATTACTAGCTCTCAGAGAAATGCACGTAAAATCTACAGTGAGACATCATTTACTTTCTATTAGGATGGTAAATATTTTAAGAAATAAAGATTTTTTTAAAACCCAGAAAATAACAAATGTTGGAGGGGATGTGAGGAAATTGCAACTCTTATACAAGGGGGTACTCCCTCAAAAAATGGAAAACTCTGCTGGGTGGAACTTTCATAGTATACTCTCCCCCACCCCACCCCCAAAGGCGAGCATTGAGCAACTTGCTTTGAGTTTGTGCACCCAGTGGCATCACCTGGGAAGGTTCTCTGGTCACAGTGATTTTTTTCATAAAAGCAGTTTCACTCAAACCTTGTTTTTTGTGATAGCCGATTTAAGAGAACAGTGTGTAGCTGTGAAATTTTGTTTCCTGCTTGGGAAAAATGCCACAGAAACTGTTGTGATGTTGAACAGAACTTACAAGGACAGTGCTATGGGAAAAACTCAAGTGTACAAGTGGTTTCCTCATTTCAGAAAAGGTGAAATGTTGATTGATGACAAACCTCATTCTAGACACCCATTAGCTTCCTGAACTGGTGGAAATGTCAATTTGTAGTGCATTTGGAGTTCATTCCACCAAGTCAGAATGTTCATCAGGCTTTCGATTTAGAAGTTCTGAAAAGATTGCATAACAGTGTGCAACCAAAAAGGCCTGATTTGTGGCAAACGGGGGACTGGTTTTGTCACCATGATAATGCTCCTGCTCACAAAACCATGTCAGTGCACCAGTTTTTGGCAAAAAACAGCATTCCTCTCTTTCCTTATGCATCATATTCACCCGACTTCACTCCGTGGGACTTCTTTTTGTTTCTGTGAATGAAGAGGGACATGAGAGGACAGCAATTTGATGACATAGAAGAGGTGAAGGAAAAAACAAAGGAGGTGCTGCCAGCCATCCAAACAGATGAGTTTTTAAAATGTGTCCAAGAATGGAATCCCAGACTTGACAAGTATATTAAGTGTAATGGAGAGTACTTTGAAGGTGTTAAGCTTGTTTTGTAAAAATATTTAAATACATAGCTTGTATATTGCTAGTCGGAGTGCAAAGTGGCATTCATTGTCTGAAATACAGTAATAATTCCTCTAATAAAAAGACAACTTGCTTATGACCCAGCAATTCCACTCCTACATTATGTATGCTCAAAAGCTTGAAAGCAGAGTCTGATAGAGAGACTTGGCCACCAACATTTGTTGCTGCACAATTCACAGTCACCAAGAGGTGGAATCCAGCTGAACCCCCATCAATAGATGGATAAATAAACAAAATGTGGTTCGTAACTACAAGGGAGTACTCAACCAGTGGGAGAAGTGAAAGTTTTGATATATACTGTGATGTCACTGGAGCTTGAAGACATTGTGCATAGCAAAATAAGTCAACTACAAGAGAACAAATTGGTATGACCTCACTTATATAAAAAGGCAAAAGTAAAGCAACCAAAGTGTATTAGTGGTAACCAGCAGGAAGAAGGCAAGGGGAAAATGGGTTAAAGGTGATGGAAAATTGAACTGTTTGCATGTAGGGTTACATAGCCCAATTATTGTACTTTCTGTAATCAGTTGTTCACCTATAAAAAGTTGAAATAGCAACAACAAAAAAAAGTTGAACTAGCAAACTTTATGTGAGAGATGTGTCCCTCACTGCCATCAAGTCAATTCCAACACATAGTAACCTTGTAGGGCCAGGTAGAACTGCCTCTGTGGGTTTCTGAGACTGTAACTCTTTACTGAAGTAGAACGTCTTGCCTTTCCCCAATGGCTGGTCGTTTTGAACAGCTAACCTTGTGGTTAGCAGCACAACACATGACCACTGTTCCCCCAGGGTTCCTATCGATACATTTTCAACAAATAAATGAGTAACGGTTGAGGCTGCTTATGTCCAGCCGTACATTTCATGAGTTTAGGTTCCTTGATTTTGAATCTAGGGTCATAGTTTCATGAGACATCTCAGTTAATTGGCTAAGTAATTTGTTTGGTGTTTCTACCTCCTCATTGGTTTCATCCAATGCACAATTGGTTTCCATTCATCTGTAGCAACAGGGGAAGAGAATCAGGAAAAAGAGGATATTGAATGTGTGACTAATTGCTTCCAGGAACAACTAACTGCCTCCTTTGCCGTGAGACCAGAATGGAATGGTGCCTACCCACCATGGCTGACCATTTGGAATAAAGATTCCATAGAATACATGTGACCAAAGAGAGGAAAATTCAGAACACAATTTCAAATTCCCATGGGCTCTAGACTATATGGACCCAGGGAGGGTAAATTAACCCTTGAAAGAAACTATTGTCCAGAGATAATCATTAAACCTTAAGCCAAAAATCTCCCTGAAGTCTTCTTAAAAACAAACTTTAGTTTATGTTAACAGCACAAATAGGTCTGCTTTGAGTATTATGTTCTTCTAAGAACTAAGTGTATGGAATAAAATTGACCACAGCAGATCAAAAGAGGTGATTTTCAAATCATCGCAACCTTAGGGGGCAGTGAGTTGACGTTAATGGGGGTGGGGGCGGTGCCTGGAAGAACAACTCAGCCAAGGAAGGTAAGAAAGGTTGCACTAAGTGGAGCACGTAAAACGTGGCAACGGATGGATAGCTCTCCGTTCTGTTATGCATGTTCTCCGCAGCGGCAACAAAATTAAAACGTGAAATAGAAACACTTTTCATGATTCCTTGTGTGTGTGCTATTGGAAACTTCAGTGATGAGCATGCTTGATTTTAGAATGCATGCAACTGTAATAGGTAATAGGTAATCACATTTCCAAGCTAATGATTGCACAAACGTGCGTTCCTATATTGAGAACTAGGGGGTGGGGGGCGCTTTTGAAAGCACTGATAAGAAAAATAAGTGACATTATATCCACGTCTTTAAAGTGAAATTTTAATAGCACAACATGCAAATGCTGTGTTGATGCAGAGCCCCGACTGGGAGGCCTGACGTCCAGCAGGGTTCCTGTGCCCGGCGGAGGGCTGGGCGGACACCTGGACCAGAATGTGTCAGAGTGTTTCCAATTGCACGAAAGATGTCAAAAATGTCGAGATTCCTTGTGGGGAGGTAAGTAATTGTTATTTTCTCAGAGTTTCCATGGTATTCTGGTCAGAGGTTAAAAATGATCATAATAAACGAACAAAGCCTTTATTTTGCTAAGCATTTTTCATTTATCTGCTTTTCTTCAAGCACACGCTCCCATCTGGAGTACTCACGGTAGGCCTGAAACCTCTTATTATTTCAGAGTGTGTCAACTCGCCATTTTTACATTAATTAACCCCCTTATTGTCCTTGTGAAGTTCTCTCTCTCTCTCCCTCCCACCCCCTCAGGGTCAAAGACGAAACAAGCACTGACATGCACAGAAGAGAAAAACCATGCGTAACTCAGGACCACGAATTCCTCTTCATCGTGAAGAGTGGAAAAGGAAACCCCCAATGACAACCTCCTGACGTTGATAGCCAGGTGGCCAAACCATATGAAGAGATGCTCGGTTCGATAGCCCCAAGAGAAATAAAATCAAAGCAACAATGAGATGCCACCTCACACAGATACTCCTAGCACACACACACACACAAAAACAGCCACCAGACTATCATAAATGCTAGAGAGGATGTGTCAGTCTGGGTACATTAGAGAAACAAATCCACAGAAACCCATATGTGTAAGAGAGAGTTTTATATAAAGGGTAAGTGCACATCAAGAAAACATCCCAACTCAGTGCTGCCCAAGCCCACAAGTCCAACATTAAGCCATATGTCCGACACAATCCACAAAGTCCTCCTCCATCTCACAAAACACACGCAATGATGCCAACTGCAGGAGGAAAGCCGAATCAATGAACGTGTAAGCATCTCAGTGCTGGCAGGGTCTTCACATAGCTGCTCCAGCACCCAGGGCTGCATCCGGGTAGGTCCATGTGGCTTTTCCTCAGGGATGTCTTGCAGGAAATGAACCTTGCCAGCGGAAGCAGGGAACTGGCTAAGGCAGCTACACCCGGTCCGACCATCAGAAAGCAAGAGACCTGAGAACTAGTGAAGCGAGACTCCCTGAGCCATTTATCTCTCCGCCTTTCAATCAACCGCACATGTGTTTATTGGCCAGGTTGGCACAATGAACCTTAACTATCTCAGAGGACGGGGAGAGGATGGAACCCTTGGTTCCATTGCTGTTAGAGCTGCAGACCTGTACAGCCTCTATGAAAACCGTATGGCGTTTCTTCAAACACATGCAAATGAAAATACCTTTGATCCTGAAACCTCTCCACTTGGTAAATACCATAAAGAAATAAAGACTATTGAATTATAGGCTATGTGGATGAAATGCCAAACAAAACTGGTTTTTATAAAAAATAGAGAACAAAACACGAACAGATATATGTACACCCATCTTTATGACAGAAATTTCTATAATAACAAAAAGAAAGGAACAATTAAAAAATACCATCTGCGGAGGAATGGATAGATCAACTCTGGTACATACATACACTGGAATATTATGTATCCTTCAAAACAATGGCGAGCCTGTGAACCCCCTCGTGACATGGACAAAATTGGAGGGAATTATGCTCAGCAAAGTTATGACACCATTATCATAAAGGGAAAAAATGGTTTTCACACCAAAAGACAAGAATTTGAAGACTGTGACAAGGCCAGGGCCGGGGGCAGGGGCACAGGGAAAGGACAGGGAGCTGTGAATGGGAGCTGGGTGGGAAAAGCAGGAGAGAGAGAAGAACAAGGAACGTGAACAAGAGCAAGCCACTCACCCAGCGGCATCGCATCATGTTTGATTTACCCCTCAGCTGGCTGGGGACCATGAGCATCTCTCCACATGCTTGTTAGCCACCTGAAAGCCGTCTTTGGTGAACGGACCATGTCCTCTGCCCATTTTTAAATTAGATTATTTGTCTACTTCTTGTGGAGATGTTGAACTTTTCTATGACTTTAGAGATTAGTCCTTTGTCCAGTAGGTCACTGCCAAAAATTTTTTTTCCCAATATGTGGGTTTTCTTTGCACGTGTTTGGTGTAAATTTTGGATGCACCTAAGTGTCTTAGTTTTGGGAGTCCCCAGTCATCTATTTTACCTTCTGCTGTGTGTGGGGTTTTTATTATTTTGATGGTGGTTTATGCCATGGATGAACGCCCCTAAGTTTATTCTGATTTTTTCCTCTAGTGATCTTTACAGTTCTGACGTTGAAGTCTTCCATCTGTCTTGAGTTCAGTTTTGTATGTGGACTGAGGTGTGGGTCCTGTTTCAATCTTCTGTGAGTGGAAATCCAGTTTTGCCAGCACCATTTGTTGTAGAAACCATCTCTCCCCCATTTCATAGCACAGGGGTTCCAACAGTCAACTGCCAACCGGAAGGTCAAGCGTTAGAACCCCCAGCAGCAGCTCCACAGGAGAAAGATGTGGCGGCTGCTTCTCTAAAGATCTGCAGCCTAAGAACCCCCAAGGGGGCAGTTCTGCCTGCCCTCTAGGGCAGTGAGGAGACCAACTCAAGGGTTCAGTTTTCGTGTTTGTTTGTTTGTTGGCTGCACTTCAGAAGGCTGTTGTGCAATAAGAGGAAACTACTACCGAATCTTAGTGGGTTTTGCCACAAAGCCTTCTTCTCACTCTTACAAGACAATTGACGTCTGAGTCAGGCCTCTGGTCCACACTCCTCGCTCTGGATGATGGCGCTCCGGCTGTGCCCAGTGTCACTGTTTGCACCGTCGGAGAGACAGGGTGCATTTGCAGGCCTCCAGCAGTGGGACACATCAATGGGAAGGTGACATGCTCCCCTTCAAGGCGGTCAAGAACAACAATCCCACACATGACCCCTGAAGGAGAAGAAACAGAATGTCCCACCCTTTACCTGTAATGACCTTCAGAGAGAGGGAAGTAAGGAAGGAAAGGAAGACAAAAGAAAGTGCTCTTAACTGACCCTCCGCCCCGGATCCGTGGGGCAATTTGTTTATTTATTTATTTCCGTCATTCCCGCTTGACCTCACTGAAAATGCACGTGGTCTAGAGACTCGTGAGCTGCCATCTAGGGGGTTCTGATGGCGTGTGCCCAGGTGTGTGGAGTGGAACTGGGCCACCAGGTTTCCAAGGCTGTGTGGCCTATTAGCAGGAAGTCACCAAGCCTCCCGGGGAGTCCATCGACTACCTTCACTGTTGGCACCCAAGTCGAAAGGCTACAAAGTATAAAGACTGGGATTTTAACCCTTTTTTTCCCAAGTCCAAACTTCGTGTTCATTTTCTTGAACCAGGTTCCTTATATTTCTACTAGGCTGTCCCAGTGTACCTGTACTGCACATCGAATTCAATGAGGCTGCGAAACTGGTCAACGTATCCAACCAGCAATATGCGCAGATCCTCCAGATGACCCAGGCTCACTTGGAAGACACCACATTCCTGATGGAGAAGACGAGAGAGCAGTTTGGCTGGGTATCTGAGCTGGCAAACCAGATTCTGGCAACTGAGAATACCTTCAGTCCAATACAGGTAAGAGCAAGACCCAGAGCATACTTTGATTTTTTTCCTCTTAATTTGCTTACTCATTGCATCTAAACATAAAAAAATCAGGCTGTAGGATGATATTCAAACTTTCCTTACAAGTTGATTTCATAATAGTGCATGGTCTTTAGATAGCAAGGAGTTTTATAAAGAAAACCAATTCAGGACACATGAGACTCTAATCCGGAGATAGCTACATCTACCTGTATTTGTAGTACCATAACCAGGGAGAACTGGGAGAATTGTCGTTTTAAAGAGGGAAACTAGTAGGGAACCGATTACAAGGAACTATATGTGACCTCCTCCCTGGGGAACAGACAACCGAAAAGTGGGTGAAGGGAGACGTCGGACAGGGCAAGATATGACAAAATAGCAATTTATAAACTATCAAGGGCTCATGGGGGAGGGGGGAGCGGGGAGGGAGGGGAAAAATGAGGACCTAATGTCGGGGGTTTAAGTGGAGAGAAAATGTTTTTGAGAATGATGTACAAATGCGCTTTATACAATTGATGTGTGTATGGATTGTGATAAGAATTGTATGAGCCCCTAATAAAATGTTAAAAAAAAAAAAAAGAGGGAAACTAGTAATCTGGGAAAGTGTCTGAACTTCTGTAGACCTCCATTAACTACCTGCTAATTGGGAATAATGACACCTCCCTTAACATGTATGCAGGGAAAGCGGTTAGTATACGCTTCATAGACAGAGCAAGAGGTCTGTAAATGACAACACTTCCTAATTTTTGACAGAATAGACTGCTGATTTACCTGAAAACTAAAAATATCTATAAATCAGTCTTGCAGAGAAAGACGTGGCTGTCTGTTTCGGTAACAATTTACAGTCGCGGCAACAGCGTGGAACAATTCTGCTCTGTGTGCAGGGTTGCTAAGACTCAGGAATGATGCGGCCACAGTGGGTCTGGAGTTCTTTATACTAATCAGGAACTCTGATGACACAATGGTTAAGTGCTGGGCTGCTAACTTAAAGGTTCAAGGTTCAAACCTGCCAATTGCTACGCAGAAAAAATAGATGTGGCAGTCTTGCTTCCATGGAGATTACAGCCTAGGAAACACTACGAGGCAGTTCTACTTGATCTTACAGGGTCACTACAAATCAGAATTGACTCAACGGAAACAGGTTTGGGCTTAAATAAAGAACACATTACCATACTAAATTGCATCTCTGCCAGGTCTTCCATATTCAATCGAGAACTCATTTTATGTAACATAAAACTCAAGTGCATTTGCTAGTAAGTGAATTTCTTTCCTCAACACACACGATATTAATATGCAAATAGTATGATCAGATTTGTAAAATTATCTGTATACAATATACACTTTGTGGAGCAACTGAACCATGGTCTTCTGAGTAGCATATAATTTGGTCTCCAATCCAGGGATCCCTTATAACAGTCCCAGCTGTTGCTACTGCTGACTCCTTCACACACACACACACACATACATACATACACACACACACACCCAGCAACCTTCTCCAAAGGGTTGCTCTTGGAGTTACATATGCTCAGGGCTCTCTGCAAAATCAAGCTGAGGGGAGAGGTCACATGATAAGGCATCCTTGCTAAACTTCCCCCTTTTCTACCCTGTTTTCTTGTTCTCCGTAGAAGTTTCATCTGAGAATACACTGCCTCTTGGTGTATGTGCGTATGTGTATTATAAAGTTTTATTGGGACATATCGCACAATTTAATAATAATCATCATCAATAGCATACAAGTCAATAATCATCACAAATATTATACAATTCAATAGTTCTGTCATATCAAGAAGAGTTGGGCAATCATTACCACAATAAATTTTAGAACATTTTCTTCAATCCTGTCCTCCTTGCTATTAGCTGCCCATTTTTCCCCATCCTACCCTGCTGTGCCCGCCAAGCAGTCATTAATCCAGTTACTATCTCTGTGGATTCACCCATACTGGATTTCATATGCTGAAAAACATTTAAAAAAACACACAAAACAAAGAGTCAAAAAAGCTAATAACAATAACAAAATAAAACTGAGAAAGCCCCAGTTGAAAAGGAAAGAAAACATTAAAAACTAGAACAACTTTAAAATGGGTCAAAAGAGAGATCAAATCATAAGGTGTTAGATTTTAATCTAGCCTGCCTATTCACATCCCGGTGTAGGTTCAGAGGGGCTTCACGGGAGGCTTCATCCTCCTGTATTTGCCCTTCACTTTTTTTAACTGCTAGAACTTTGTTTTAATGTCACATATATATTTTTGAATAAATCATTTTACTGGGGGCTCTTACAGCTCTTACAACAATCCACACATCCATTGTATCAAGCACATCTGTACAGTTGTTGCCCTCATCATTTTTCCTCCCACCCACATGGACCCTTGATAAATTACAAATTATTATTTTCATATCTTACATTGTCCACTGTCTCCATTCACCCATGTTTCTGCTGTTCGTCCCCCTCAGGGAGGGGTTATACACTGATCTTTGAGATCAGTTCCCCCTTTCTCCCCCTTCTCCCCCAACCTTTCCCCCTACCCTCATGGTATCTCGGCTCCCATTACTGTCCCTGAGGGGTTTATCTGTCCTGGATTCTGTGTGCCAAGAGCTCTTAACTGTACCAGTGTACATGCTCCAGTCTAGCTGGGTTTGTAAGGTAGAACTGGGGTCATGATAGTGTGGGGGCAGGAAGCATTAAAGATCTAAAGGAATGTTGTTGGTTTCCTTGGTGCTATGCTGCACCCTGGCTGGCTCCTCCCTTTCTTGTGCCCCTTCTTTGAGGGGATGTCCAATTGTCTACAGATGGGCTTTGGGTCTCCACTCTGACCCACCTCGGTCTCATCAATATGATTGTTTTAGCTTATGCACCTATTTTGTCTTCAGTGATTGTGTCAGGAAGGTGAGCATCACAGAATGCCAGGTTATTAGAGCAACGTGTCCTTGTGTTGAGGAAGAACTTGAGTAGAGGCCCCATGTCCATCTGCTACCTCAATACTTAATGTCTTTTGTCTCCTGGTTTTTTCCTCTATTTCCTTTTACTTTTCCTCCTGCCCCACTACCATGTTTGACCTCCATTGAGTTCTCAGTAACTCCTCTCAGCTTGCACTTCCTCAAGCCCCACCGGGCATCCTACACCCTCCTCACCATCGATTTTAGATCTCTTCTTGTTTGTTCCCTTGTCCCTGAGTTTGTTGGCTTCCCCCTCCTTTTCCCCCACTTCCTCTTCCCCCATGCCCCCACTCCCCTGTCGGTCCCATTGTTTCTCCTTGGGATTGTAAACAATCCTGCCTATCTTATATAGCTAGACATGGGGGGCAGGGGGAAGCCTATAAATAGTTCCAGGTTTGTCTGTTGAAACCTTATGACTGTTTTCCGATGGGTCCGCTGAGGTGCCAACCTCTGCTCCTCCAAGTCAGAAGTCTATTTTTGGGATTCCTCCAGCACTTCGTTGCTCCCCTTGCTGCTCTGTTGCACCCGCTTCGCTTTTCTCCTGGTGGGCAGACCAGGCACAATGCCCGCACTGTGTCTCTAGTGCTGTCCCCACAAGGCTGTGGGGCTGTGAGGGGACATCGTGTCTCATGGTGGGGCCAGCGTTAAGGTCCTCTCTGTGCATTGGCTGCTCCAAGCAGGAATGTTGTCCTTGAGGATTGGTGGGGCAGGATGTGGTTCTCTCTCTCTCTCCTCTCTCTCTGTTTCCCTCTTAGTTTGCTCCTGTGTGGTCTGGGCAGACCTGCCACTTCAGTGCTGTCCTCTGTCGTGTACTCTTCTGGGGAGGGGGAACTGCTAAAACTTTTAAATGTGTCAAGAGGGGGATCAAATCAGATGTTACATTTTAACCACTTAAATCAGATGTTACCTTTTAATCTACTACAATCATCTCTACCATTGTTTCTGTCGGATAACCAGGTGATTGACATCCCTAGGTTATGGTCAGAGGGAGCTCACCAGAGGGTTCATCTATGTGTGTGTGGATCCTGCAAATGGATGTGGGGCTTCCACGTTCATCCTCAAAGGTTTGTCATCTAAGTGAGGCACCACGAAATCCACACGGAAGAAGCACACCAGCCTGTGTGATCCGAGATTGTAAAGAACATCATCCACGTCCGAAGGAGAAAGTGGGATCAGAGCTTAAATTGTGAGCTCCTGGGGTCCGGAAGGCTACAGTGAATGCCTCCTTGAAAGTCACTTGTGTCAGAATGCCAGGCGATGCTTCCATGGAATCTGACGTTCTATAATCCCGTGTTTCACTCTTTTTCAAACTGCAAAGTTGTGACCCAGTGTGGTTTGAGAAATAATTCTAGAGAGTCAGAGCCACACCTTAAAATAAGTAAGTTCAATAAAGCCGAATAAGAAGACTAAAAGAGAAAATAGTGAAGTGCGTTGTGCATAGTATATCATGTGCACATCCATGGACCTTATTTCCAATGTGTGGGTGGCCAGTGTGGTTGTGTGTGTCTCCTCGCACACATAAATCCTGGGGAGTGGCATTTGTTACTATAGATTACAGTTAAAATGCCTTGAAAGCCCCTGCTCCAACCCCCTATTCACACAAAAACTTTCTTGTCCCATTAGATAATACCTTAGGATAAAATAATCCAATACATTTGATCATTCTCACACATATAGGACCTTATTTTTTATGGAAAAATTCTTATATTGGACGATAAAGTTTTACAAACATTTTAGCAGTACTTAAAAACAGCACCTGTTTATGTGAATTAGATGACTGAAGAACACATTGACCTTACATTCAATAAATGGGTACACCTTTTTTCATCTCGTTCACTGCTATCCCCACAAAGAAACATAACGTACCCAATTACTTCCCATTTTGTCTTCCTTCTTTCCTAACCTTTCTGAATTTTGTCCTGGAGTAATTGCTACCCTTTCAATCTCCTATAGTTGATCATTCTCAGGCTTGTGTTCTCCACTAGTGTCATTGTTCCCTTTATAGACCTGTCTATGGCTCGGCTGAAAATTAAGCTATAGAGGTGAGTTCAATTCCAGACCTGAAGGTTGACCAAGAGCCATCGGCCTGGGGGTTCATCAGTTACCATGAGATCAGTAAGACTGGTCATTTGTGATTTTGAGTTTTGTTCCTCATTTCCGCCCCTCTCTATCTAGGGCCATGTAATACCTTTCAGAGCAATTGCTAGTAGTGGTAGCTGGGCACCATCTAGCTCTTCTGGTCTCAAGGTGTGGAGACTGATTTTCTTGCAGTCCATTCATCCATTGGATTAATTGTTTCCATGGGTCTTCAGTTTTCATTTCTTTCCTCTGGACAGGGCAAGATCAATAGTTGCACCGTAGATGGCTACTCACAAGCTTTTAAAGAGTCCAGTTGCTACTTACCAAAGGAGAATGTAGAACATTATTTTTTGTGGACTATATTATGCCAACTAATGTTGATGTTCCCTGAAGCTATCATCCTGGGTCCCCAAGTCCAGCTACACATGCCCTCAGGGTGTCTGGTTTTGTCTAATACGTTTTTGAACTTTGTCCTCGTATACTGCATCACATTCATAGAATCTTTGTAGCAAAGGTAAATACACACATAAAAATATCCTCTGTCAAACCTGCAAAAATTTGTGGGGCTATTCCCACTCTACCGTCCATCTCATTCGGCCTGCATAGCTATCCAAGCATCTGCTGCAAGATCACCATCATTGAGGGACTGTGTGCATAAGAATATTTACTTCTGTTGCCTTTAACTCTTGCTGTCCTCCCAAGGTCTCCCCCTTTAGCAGTACTCTTAACAGTTGGAAAGTGATTGCCAATATTTAACTATCATCACTCCTGTCATTCCATCCTATGCTTCAGTTTGCTTGTGTTCTAGTGTCTCTAAGCAACACTAGCAGATTTATCTATTTATAACAAATGCATTTCCGTATCAAAAGTCTCATTTAAAAAATACAATAAAACCCATATAAAATAATGTTATAGTTTTCAAGTCTACATCTTTATAATCACCATCATCATTAAATAGCACTTACTATATGTCAGGCCATGACCCAAGACCTCCCATCTCTCACCCTAGAAGGTAAGTATTACTATTTTCCCATTTTCAATGAGGCATAAAACAGTTAAGTAAGTTACCTGAGATCACACAGCTAGTATGTGGTTGAGTTGGTGTTCAAACTCAAGCAGCATTTCTCCAGAATTAGTGAATTTAGCCACATTGTTAAATTCCCTGCAAATTATTTTTCCTAAAGCAGCTTGTATTTCATCATGCAACGCCACAAAGTAGCAAGGACTAAAGGGGAACCTTGTATAAGGAACACACAAATTTAGCAGGTGAAAAAACTATGCTGCCTGCATTGTGGGAAAACATTATGTTCAATACTCTTTCATAAACACTTAATGTTTTGCTTCTCTCTCTCTCTCTCTCATATATGCATGCACACATATAGTTTGGGATTTAACAGGGAAGTATCCGTTTATAATTCAGGATCTGAAATTATTCAGGATACAGCCTCTTTTCAGCCATACCCACAGGCAGACCTCTCCCTGGCTTTTGTTTTTGATACCGCAATTTATTTGAAAATATTTTTTAATCATTAAAATTGCATCAACTTGCATGCTAATACATTTATATTTAAATATTAAAAATCAAATATATGCACTTGGGAATTCATTTAAAGAATAACTAAAGTGCATTTCAGATGACCAGCTCTTGAAAAATATCACACAGACACCCCATAAACTGTACATTTCTAGGAAAGCTCAGTAAGAAACTTGGCCCGTCATACTGTTGGTAGCACAGAGTGGTACTCAGCCCACAGTCCATCCGCCCCTCGGCTTCTCCTTGAGGTGGTGCCATGCAGCACGTTCTGGCCAGTAAAATAGGAAGAAAAATGGCGAAGGTGATTTGTAGACTGAGATGGTGCAAAGCCTATCCATTCTCTTGCTCTGCTGAGAGCACAAGGAAAGCCATGCGTCCCATTATGATGAGCCAGGAGATGGCAGCACCTCTGTCAGTCAGATTCTTGGGTGCCTGTATGGTACAGAGAAGTAGATGACAGAAGATAGGTAGGTAGGTAGGTAGATGATAGATAGATAGATAGATAGATAGATAGATAGATAGATAGATAAAGGCCCAGGCATAGATAGATGATTGCTGTCTAGTTTTCTACAACTCATGGTCTAACAGAGTGAACCAGGTTCTGTCCGGTGTCCTCCTCACTATCAGCAGCATGCTGAGCTCAGAGTTGTGGCTACTGTGCTAATCCACCTCACCGAGGGTCTTCATCCTCACGGTCCTCTACTGCACCAAACAGTCCATCTTCCCAGAGTGATTAATCCCCCCTGCCAACACGTCCAATGTCTGCTGGGATCTATGTGATTTTCCTTGGCTGGTTTGCGGAATTGGTCCGCCAGGCCTTTCTTTCTAGTCTGTCTTAGTGTGAAAACTCTGTTGCAGCCTGTGGGCAAACCTGCTAGCATTTGAAATTCCAGTGGTAGAGCCACCACAGTAAGACAAACTGTGAGGTCAGCCCTGACCATCAAGTGATGTGGTACAGAGGCCTTGTAATATGTGTGTAGCATGAGTGAGAAATAAATGTCTGTCATATGAAGCTACTGACATATTGGGGCTCATTTGTTACCTCGGCACAGCCTAGCCTACCATGACTAATGAGCTTTTAAGTGAATCTTAAATGTGTGCTTGGGACTTAATTATGTATATAATGTAACTCTTCTTCTCTAGGTAGCGCCAAGTGTTCATGAAGAAAAAACTTTGAGATATGATGAAACAATGGTAGATTTAAGCATTCTGCCTTCCCGTAATTTCACACTCAAGAGCGAAGAGAGTGCTGAGAGTTCTACCTCTATTGGCCACGTGGTGGCGAAAGTTCTGCAGCATCTTAAGGAACATTTTAAACCTTGGTAAGCAAAATGTCTAACTATGAATGCTTTGTCCACAGGGATGAATAATCTGTAAAAGGAAACACCCAAAGCAGTTTTAAAATGACTGGAAAATATGTTCAAACTCATTAATACTCAAAGGCGTGATAGCTACAGCAAACGGCATTTCCTTAGCACTTCAAATTTGCAAATTAAAAAGATGACAATGTGAAATCCTGGTAAGAGTATGGGAAAATGGAAATTTTCATGTGATTAGTGGGAACATAAGCCAATTCTGCCTTACTACAAATGTATTTGATTACGATGATTAAAAATCATAAAATGCTCCTAAAAACCCACTGCCATCAATTTGAGTCAGTTTTGACTCAACAATCCTATAGGACAAATAGACCTGCCCCTGTGAGTTTCCAAGATGGTCTTCATGGCAGTAGAAAGCCTTGTCTAGAAACATTGATGCTTTTGGACTTCTGACCTTGCAGTTAGCAGCCCAAAATGTGAGTTACTATGCCATCAGGGCTCCTAAAATGTTCCTACTTGAGGCCTGTCTGGATAGGACAGGCTGGATGAACAATCTGGAGGAGAAAACAACGGGACTGACAGTT